CGATGATGCATAACAAACGCGTCGCGTCATCGGTGACGCATAATAGGTGCGACTTATACGGCGAAGCGACGTGTACGGTGGAATGTACGGTAATTAACTTTTTCATATGTGAATGTTTGTGTTCAGTGCCCTGAGATGACTTCTGCTGTGACTTGTGCTATATAAATAAACTGAGGTGAACTGTGTCTCTGTAAACGTTAACTTTTAGTGTAGATGAAACATTTTATTATTTTCTCTTCAGCCTTTTGGCCACAGCCTTTTCCACGTCGAGCTGAAGCTGAACAGCAAAATATCTCCTGAACCAGCAGACTGATTTGAATGAAACTCCCAGAAAGTAGTCCCTGCCTGTGTTTATAACTGACTGACTTTAAGAGTCAGTTGAAAATGGCCGCCATGGCTGAGCAACAAAAAGATGGCTCTAACTTAATCAGTTTGTTGGTGATAGCTGAGAGTCATCCTCAACATACAGTCTGAGCACTAACTGACTGATTTAGATCCGTTTGTTTAAACTTTGCTGATAACTATTGGAGTCAGCTGTGTCTGTTAGCAAAATATCTCATGAACCAGAGGACAGGTTTCAATGAAACTTTCAGAATGTGATCACAGGATGAACATCTACAACTGATTAACTTTTGGAGTCAACCTGATTCAAGATGGCCGCCACAGCCAACATAATATTGGCGACAACTCAGTCACTTTGACAGAAATGGAGCTAAATTTCATCATGTAATTTAAAAGGTTTTGACCAGAACAGCTATAACTCCTTCACCTCTCATCGACAGATGATTTTAGCTTAAATCTCTGTCATGAAAGGAGGCGGGCGATATGCATTCCTTCAAAGAACTGCTGGCCTTCAATAGTGTGAACGTTTATGAAGCGTTCACACTATTGTGGTCCATTTTTCATCCGTATATTTTTCAGCATCTTTCTCGTTCCACAGTTTTTAAGCGAATTCAACAGATCATACATCAAAACGTTCAGCTCTTTCAGGACAATCCTGCTTGGTGCAACTTTAGCTTTTTTGAAATATTTAGCTTTTTCTGACATTTTTTCCTCATAGAAAATGAATTGAGCTCATTTTACATCCTTCAAATCTTTAGATCTGTTTACAACCTTTTACTGCTCCTTTCACATTTTCTTCTGGTTCAGCTTCCGTGTGCAAATTTAACTTGTTTTAGCTAAATTCAGCAAATTTCAGCTGTTTTGTGCTCCTTTCAGATTCTGTCTGCTAACTACATTTTTTGCTTCTTCTAACTTCTTTCTGCTAATTTCATCTTGTTATCCTTTTAGCTTCTTTCTGCAAGTTTCAGCTTTTTCTACTATTTCAGCTACTATTTTGGCTGTTTTTCATGCTAATTTCGACATTTTCAGCTAATTCCACATTTTTGGAGCTCCTTTCGGTTCTTTTCACTTCCTTCTGGCAGTTTAAGCTTCTTTCTGCATTTTCAGCTACTTTTTGCTTATTTCAGCTATATTTTTTTTAGCCAATTTCCTAAATTTTGTGCTCGTTTCTGCTTATTTAAATCTGATTCATCAAATATATGTTCTTTCTGCTTTCTTCTGCTCAAGTGTGGTATGCTTAGTCTTCCATTTCAGCAAGTTTTTCTGCAATAAGCATTCACACTGTATTTTTTACTTTTTAAATGATTTATTATCAAGTAGTTTACTAAAATTAATGTTACATTTCCAACCAGAAAATATTTTTGAGGAATTATGTCACTAATATCGTTTTATCTGAAATCCTGCACCCTGTTCTACATTTAAGTCTCTTCTAAGTCTCTAAGGTTCTAACATTTGTCTGAAATATTAGATTGAAAAAAAAAAAAAAGTGGAAAAACTAAAGTCGTCGTTTTAAGACGTCAAGCTTTTCAATTAGTCCACGACTGCTTCCTGTTAGACTGAAAAAAATCCAAACTTTATTTAAACATTTTACCAATGAGTCAAATCATCTTCACAATAAATAAATAAATAAATAGTACCGGTTGTGTTGGTTGACAGTTTCATTCACTCTGAAGAAAACACAGAATAAACCAGACAAAAGCATTCAAAACATAAAACCTCTAATTTGCTAAATTATTTCATAATTAAAGGTTTTTCATTCTTCGAAGGAATGTTTAGAAATGACAGAGTTCTAGTCGTTTTGGTCAAATCTTGTAAATAACGTTATATTCGGTTTCTTGTAAAGTTGCCAGATGTTGTGAGACGTGTTCATCTTGGTTCTGGTTGACAGCTGTAGAAGTTCGTCCATTGAATCCTTTCAGGGAGATCCATTATAATCTGCTCAGTGGGTCCTGAGATATTTTGCTAACAGACACATACAGACACAACCTTTGTGAGAGGACTCTGAATACCAACACTTTATATAAACTAACTACAACAACTCCTCATGGATCGACAGTGGTACTTTACATATTTGTGAGTGGTAAAAGTATGTGACCCTCTTGGATTATCAGTTAATTTGAAGGTGAAATTAGAGTCAGGTGTTTTCAATCAATGGGATGATGATCAGGTGTGATCCTGTTGAGTTAAAGAACAGGATCTATCCAAGTCTGCTCTTCACAACATGTTTGTATCATGGCAGGAACAGAGAATTATGAGAAAGAAAAAAAGAGTTGTTGATGCTCATCAGGCTGGAAAAAGTTACAAAATCATTGGGACGCTGATATTATCGGCATGTATCGGCCGATATTAGAGATAAAGTTAAATATCGGCCATTCCATCAAAATAACTCAGATATAAAAGGCTTCTGTTTTAAATTAATTTTTAATTTAAGAAACTGTCGAATATATCTATTAATGCACTACTACTTATGCACTTTTAGTCCACCTCTGTTGGACACTCAAATCAAATCAAACCATGAAAACTACAAAGAACTGAGCAGAGCTTTTCAAATGTACACTTTATTTTAAACAAAAGTACAAAAACACAAACGTCAGATATTTACAATACTTGCATGGCAATGTTCACGTTCTTTGGTCGTTTTTCCAATTTGACGATTTGTTGTTTTTTTTTCACAAGGTAGGCAACAAACAGCAGCTCGGCGACGTGAGGTTATTACATGCTGGGTACATTTTTTATTTTTTCAACCAGATGCTGAGCGAACAACCGATGACATAATTACATTTTTTTTTAAAGGTCTTGCAAGCATTTTATGGACCGTTTAAATCCAGGACAGATCAAAGCAGAGATCTGTGACGGTTACTGAATATGCCCACCAGGATATTTCATCTTGCACGATATAAATAGCATAAAGAAAAGTTTAATTCACACACTTCACAACTACATCCTGGCCTTGATGCGTTTTTTTAATGTTAGCCAATGCTCATAAATGGACCAAAAACTCGTGACAGTCTTCCATCGTCTTCTACACAAATTCGACATAAAAACATGAAGCTTACGTCACAAACTGAATTACAGGAAGTTTCAAAAAGAAGGCGGAGCTACTTTTAGACGCACATCCTCTCCTCGGCTACATAAGCAAACGATCGTCCCTCCACACTGACGGAGCTCAAACTGATCAAATCTGACTTAAAGCAACGGTTCAGGTCCTTTCGAGTCAGGTTCTGTGGAGACGTTATGACTAATTACTATCTTACCTGTTGTGGATAGCTTTAAAGAGTGTAATCCTGACCAGATTGATAAGCTAATGGCTAGTCTGAGCGGAGTCACGATCAAAGAGGACCGCTGTCGTCTCAAAACTATTCAGATCTTGAAAGAATTTAAAGGAACGACGTTTTAAAAGCTTCACGTCGCCGTCAGTTCAGAATTACACAGAAAGCTCAAGATATTCCAGTTGGAAGTGCTGTAGCTAGCCGCCGCCGCCTCCGTTTGCACTTGTATATGATAATTTGGCAAGTTAGGGACGAAAACAAATACAATCAACTCTGCTGCTCAACCACAAAAACAAATGTAGACTGTTCTAACAAAGAAATAATCAACCCAACATTTATTTGTTAAACATTTTTGCGCTAAGTTTAGTTCGATTTCTACTTTTGCTTCTTCATATTTACTCGCTGTGGTCTTTAATACTGTGTTTTGTTCTTAAATTTGATGATGACATTACGTTTTCCTTGAAACTTTAATTATTCCGTCCTGCATTGGGAAGTGCTATAGCTAGCTGCTATTTGTGTTAGCAAACAACCACAAAAATCTGCGTAGAAAGTCATTTAAAACTGAGAGCGACGTAAAGGTCAAAACTAGTGTTCTCTGGTCTCCATTAAGCTCGTCAGTCTGGTCAGAATTAAGCAGTTCCTCCTGGATGAGGTCGTTCAAACGCCATCTACAGCAGGTAAGATGTTGACTGTTCATAACCTATCTACTTCGAAATATCTTATTTGTCCCTTAAGAGACTAGAAAGATAAAACATTACCTCTTATCTGCAGGTTCAGACAGTATGGAAGAAGCATGATGGCAGATTTAATGTACCGTATTTTCCGGCGTATAAGTTGCATCAGTCCCCCCCCCCCCCAAAAAAAAAAAGCATCAAGAAGAGGAAAAAACACAAGTCGCATTTATTATGAGCCACCGCTGATCCGTTGCGTTTATTATGCATTTATTTAATGGTCAAAACAGCTTCATTTCACCTGGGCGGCGTGGCGTCATCATCGCAGCTGAGTGAAGCGAGCGCGTACGGAAGGACTCGTTGCAGTTCTTCGAAATTTAAAGCGTCACTCAAAAATTGCGTTATGAATATGGGAAAAAAATATATTAGTCGCTTCGGCATGTAAGTCGCAGGACTGACAAATTTATGCAAATAAACTGCGACTTATACGCCGGAAAATACGGTAAAACGAGCAGAGTATCTAAAGTCAGTAAAATTAGTTGAACGGTGCGCCGCATTCTCCAAGTAATCCACCTTCCCGTGGCGTGCCGTCGTTTTGTTGAAGTCCACGTAAGAAAATTCAGAGGCAAACTTAACCGTCATTTCATTTTTCTTTTCTTTTTTACACACAAATTCAAAACAAAACAAAAACATGACATTTAACACAAAAGAATGTGACACATTACCTACTTCCTGCAGTCCGACATGGAAATCACATTGTCGGCTTTAGGTTCAACACACCCGTAGCCCTTCCAGGAGTTTCACCTCAATGTTTAAAACGTTTTACAATAAAATGAATGAATGCCGAAGCAAACGGATTTACAACTGCTTGAAAGTGATGCTGAAGGCAGAGGTGGTTGGCCTGAGATGACATGGAGTTAAAAAAAAAGAGCATTGATGGTCAAAGCAGAGACTAACGCAGATCCTCACAGCAAAGGCAGCGGCTCTAGGAGTAACTTCACTCGCATCGACTAAGAAATAAAATAAAATAAAATAAAAAAAGATCCGCAGTCTCTCACTTTCCCGCTTGTTCATTCTAACAAACACGAATCCTAAAGTTTCCACGAGTTTCAGCAGTGCAGACAACTTGTTCCTGTGACGTGCAGTATCTGTTCTGTTAGAGAATAAATGGAGGGGGTCGGGGGAGGGGAGGGGGGTGTCTGGGTCTGGACGTGGGTTTTATTTTTATTTTTGTAAGTGTCTCCCTGAAACCAAACTCAAGCTGTCTTCATCCCGACGTACACGCTTTTGTTTCTCCGGGACAGAGGTGAAGAGAAATGTGCAAAAGTTCAGAGTTTTCACTGAAACGACAAAAACAAAACAAAGACGTTTTTAAGAAATGGTTTTTTTTTTTTTTTGAACATACGTGTTTCAATCATACGAACACGACAAAGACTACCTTTCACTTCACCGTTTCAACAACGGTTCTCTTTACACTTCAGCCTTCTGACTGTTCTCCTCCAGTTTCTTCTCCTCCTCCGAGGACCCGTTCTCCTTCTCACCGGTCTTCCAGCTTCCCTGCCTGTGAGAAAATAAAGTTTTATTACACTTTGTTGCCATCAAGCTCTTCTCGGGGCTAAAGGTTCACTCGGTGGGATATCGGAGTGCACGTTAGACACGCCACTCAAACTGAGGAGCAGGAGGTGAAAACATAAAGTGCAGGTCCACAGCTGGCTTTGTGAGGGGAGAACCTCACCGAGCTGCGACTGACCGACACTACCGTATTTTCCAGAGTATAAGTCACATCAGTAAAAAAAGTGACCCATCGCGTTTATTATGTGTTTATTTAAGGGTCAAAACAGCTTCATTTCACCAGGGCAGCAAGGTGCCATTCATCCATCCATCCACCCATTTATCCATCCATCCATCCATCCATCCATCCATCCATTTATCCATCATCCATCCATCCACCCATTTATCCATCATCCATCCATCCATCGCGGCCGGAGCTGCTAGCGCTCCAGTCTTCCTCCATCTGCACCAGCTGAGTGAAGCGAGTGCTAGGCCTGTCACGATAACAAATTTTCCTGGGCGATTAATTGTCTCTGAAACTATTGTGATAAACGATAATATTGTTTGAAATTTGACAATAATTAATAATTATTGTAATGTTGGATTAATTTGAGTGTAGTACCTCTTTTGACCACCGGATGGCAGTATAAGACAGGTTGAAAAGAAGGATGGATAGTGAGGGAGTGAGCAGCGTGTTTCTTTAAGAAAAATGGGAGGGAGGCTCCTTGATGTGACATGGGCCGTCTCTCCTTCCTGTTTTTCCGGTTCTGAAAATGGCAGACGCTCTGTGTGGTTTGAGCTCTTTAGCATTTTTCACACAAAGCTTTTAATAAAAAAATCAATAAACAAGTTCTCAGCTTCTTTTTGCAGAGAAAAACAACTTTTTACACAAAGGCACGGGTTTCAACTGTGAATTTTGGAGCTTTGACAAGACGGAGGTTTTTTTCCCCGAGGTTGGCCTGTTAGCTTAGCTCATAGCATAGCTGCTTTTAAAGATCCAAAAACACAATTTTGGACGGTTAAAATAGATTTTAAAGAGAAAAGAGAAAGGGCGGGGTCAGTGAAGAGCACCGGAGTTGAGCCTTTTGTCATCCAGTGTCTTCAGTAGAAAGAGAGAGACATGAAGAAACGATAAAGCCGATAAATGAAAATGAGGTTGATAATTGTCATTTATCATGTGATTAATTCATTCAACCTTTATTTAGACAGGTAAATCCCATTGAGCCTCGAGGACTCATTTACAATTTAGGCCTGATTCAATCCACAATTGATTTTTTATTTTTTGCAACAGGCCTAGCGAGTGTGCACGGGAGGACTCACTGTTGCAGTTCTTAGAAATTTAAAGCGTCAGTCAAAAATTGCGTTATGAATGTGGAAAAACGTATAAAAGTCGCTTCGGTGTAAAAACTTATATAAGTTGCTTTGGCGTATAAGTCACAGGATTGACCAATCTATGCAAAAAACTCGGACTTATACACCGGAAAATACGGTACCTGGCATCTAAGAGTTGTGAGAATATGCGTCAAACTTCAGCTGCAGCCTCGCTGAACTCTGACCAGTGAGAAAAGCAGATGCATTTTTATTTACGGCCAAATGTCGATTTTTTTTTTGTGTGTGTGTCCAAAACTTGCAAAATTATATTTGTGGCCCCTGTTGGAAAAATGAGTCCTAACAAGCACAGTCTGCAGAGCAAATAAATAAATAGCTGAAAATATTATTGAGCATAACCGTAAGTTCATCAGGAGCTAAAATAGAATATAATCTTTCTAATCTATTTTTGAACGCAAGTTTTTAACAGGTAGGTCGTCAAAATTAATATTTTTATTTTATTTCAATCTTTTCAATTTCTTTTGAAATGTATATATTTTTTCTCTCGGCTGCTGTGGCGCCGGGAAATCCCTTCGTATAAAGTTTGGTCTCATTGTGAAGTTTAGAGATTCCCCTTTTTAAATTGACATCCGTCCGTCCATCATCTTCCGCTTATTCCAAAGTCTCGGTGTCGGTACACTCTGGTCTTGGTTTCGGGTTAGGTGGTCTTGACTACAACGCTACCACAGATCAAAAACCTGCATGTTAGTCTGCCTTCAGGCCCAGGCCTCCCTTACGAAACAGATCTGTGATCTCAATGGGATTTGCCTGGTTAAATAAAGATTAATAATAAATAAACAAATAGAGACTGGACAGCCTCTAACAACGGGCTCCAAATCCCATACTCACAGAACACCCCCCACAGTGTACCCCGACGAACACGGTCCAAAGACTTCAAGTCCACAGAACACATGTAGACTGGAGGTGCCCACTTTTTAAATTTACAGCTTGAATTCCTGATGACATCATTCCAGACCAATAAAAATCAAGTGGCACTATAAAACCAGCTTAATGTCTGGTCAGGCGATGAATCGACAAGTTTCAACAAACTACGCATCTTTTTGGAGATTTTAGTTCATGAAGATTATTTTGTTGCTCTCATCTTTATGATTTAATCTGCAGCCTTTAAATTAAAATAGGCAGTTTTACAATAATCATTATTTATCATCCGTGTGGAATTTTTTAGACCTGGACATTCAGCCCTGTAGCCTCCGATGATTTCTGTGATTAAACAACTCCCGTTCAGGTGTGAAAAGACGCTCCAGAGCTCTTGATAAGGGTTCGAGACGCCCGCAACAAAACGCAGAAGTGTTCGAGACGCCTTTGAGACGCTTGTGACGACTTTGCAACTATTTTGAGAAAGATTTTGTCACACAATATTATTCTAAAGTTTTTGAATATTCAGTCCAATTAAAAAGGAGCAAATTGTAAAAATGTATGCGGTTGTCACGGCAACGGCACAAGTTGTTTCCTAGCGAAGAAAAGAGAAACAATTCAGAGCATCTGTTTCTGCCGTCATAGTTCATTTCGAAAAGGCTCATTGGAGAGCTCAGCTTTACGTCCATCCGGTGAAAATGAAAGAAAGTAGCAGCAGAACAGGACTTTGATTCATCAGGAGGGTTTTCAGCTGCAAGACTCAAGATGAGTACCGTAATTTCTGCTGTACTTGTTGCACCGCCCTTTAAGTCACATCAGTCCAAATATATCTAAAAAAGTGGACAAATCCATAAATATGTTGCTTCGCCATATACGTCGCATCTATTATGCATCACGTTTGTTACGTGTCACAGCTGTCAACCTGGAAATGTGTGCTGGTGTTGTGCCAAAAATCAATGGGATGCCAAATGGCGGCTGCAGGAGCGTGCACAGGAGGACTTTAACAAGAATTTAACAAGATTAATACTTAAAAACAATTATTTGTTTGCTCGACTTTATAGTAAAGGTGTGTCTCAGTCTAACGTTTGCTTAATAAAAGGACTTTAACGGTGAAATAAGTTGCATTTCAAAAGTATTCACTGCCTCGGTGCTCCGGGAGCACACAGATAGAAAGGAAAAAGAAGGAGGAACGCTGCTCTTTTCTTTGAAATTTAATAAGTTTAACACTTAAAAACAATGACTTGTTTGCTCGAAATTATAGCAAAGGTGTGTTTCAGTTGAACTTTTACTTAATAAATGCACTTTAACGGTCAAATTAGCTGCATTTCACTGGGGCGGTGCAGCTGGTTTGAAGGTTGCTCCAAGCAGCGAGCAGAACGAAGATGGGGGAATACGGCAAGCCAATTGTGTCATTAATAGCTGGTGAAGATTCTCAGTCATCCAGGACATGGTAAATTCAAAAAAGTTCAAGACAAATATAATAAAGTATAAATTATAATAAATAAAGTCCAGTAGTGTTTGTGTTGTACTTGTTAATTTGTTATTATAGCCACGTTTACCTATTACATGATACAATGGCATGCCATATTGCTACTACTACTCTTCTGCCATCAAGTGGCTGAAAATGGTACTGCTCAATTGTTTTTTTCAGTCAGAATGAATGAAAATGGTCATATTTCAGTCAAAAATTGGTTTATAAATATGAGAAAAAAAATCCATAAATATGTCGCTTCGGACGATAAGTCGCAGGGCATGGAAATTATGAAAAAAAAAAGTGACCTATAGGCCGAAAAATACGGTAAAGTAAACTTATCAGTTCAGACTCTTTCTTTGTTCGTTGTGCACACAGCCCTGCACGAGTTACAGACAAACATTAAGTTGAATTACCTTATTTTATTTGGCACCTTGAGTAGACTGTTTTTATAACTACCGTAATTTACGGACTATAAGCTGCTACTTTTTCCACAGGCTTTGAATCCCGTGGCTTGTATTTGTACAATGCTGCAGCTAATTTACGGACAGTTTTTTTTTTTGACGGGCTAACGTGCTTTCTGCCGCCAAAACATTTGGACGCTCACATAGCTGTCCAATACACGTCTCTCTTGGGGGGTGGGGCATCGTGACTCAATGAGACTACCTATATAAATAAAAGTTAAAAAATAAAAAGTCTGACCAATGAAATTACCAAACAGGTCACAGTGGACCCATGAAACAGGGAGGGGAGGAAAGAACGGGGAGTGGGGGGATCCATCTACCCTTGCAAGTAAAGACCAGATTAAAAATCTTCTCGTGTCCTCAGAGTGGCTTATAGAATAAGTGGATATTTATTTATCCAACAGAAACCTTTCTCATCATCATTAGAAGAAAAGCAGCTGAAAGAATACGTCACGAGTTCAGTGAGCTGCTGGCAGAAGTGACTTTATGAACTCAAGACAGAGGAACATTTACAAACATTCAAAGAGGACTTCTTACTTGGACTTCTTCATGTAAATCCAGTACGCCAGGCCTATAACCACAGCTGCGATGAGGAGGCCGACTACAACTCCAACCACCAGCTGGGTTTGGTCTCCGTCCTTCGCCGTGTCTGCAACAAAAAAACAAAACGAACGTCAGAGACACGAAACGCATCCCTCTGTGGCAACTAAATCCCGATGCGTGTGGAAAACCAAAACGACACTAGCGCGCTTTAAATGCGATGATGAATGGACACATCTGCACTGCGCATGATTATGAATTATTGATCGAGCTGTTTCATGACGTCTCGTCAGTCAATGGGAGCATGAACGGTGTTGACGTCTTGTCAGGATGCTGGTAGCTCCGCTCCTCTTACTCTTTTGTTAAAACACGCACAGAACCACTAGTGGTACAAATCCAAGGTGGTGGTCAAGATAAATGTTTATAGAGTCCTCTTTCAGCGGAAAACACATGAACCCCGCCACCGCCATAGATCTTTCTCTTTCCCACAAGCAAAAACGCTGCTACGACTTACCTTGTTTATCCATTCTCACCTCCTCAAATACTGAAATCAGATATAAAATCAAATTAGCGTCCAACCGAATAAAGGAGGGAGTGGGAGAAAAAAAAAAAAAAAAAACTACTACTCTATTTCTACTCTAGATTAACATGCAAATAGGGAGCAGATTAAATCCAGCATCCCAACATACACACACTTGAACTGAGCGAGGTGGAAAAGAGATGTGAAAAGCTCTCCCGAACAGAAATGAGACCAAAACAAAAAGAGGAGCACGAGATCAAATCAACGTTGCACACGCTCAGACGCCGATGATGAATGAGAGCAAAGTTCATGCATCAGTCACATTCTGAAAATGGTGGGTGTGGCTTAATCAGGATCCATAAAACAACATGTTCACAAATAAACATTAAAATCTACTTTACTCAACGTCACCAAGAGTTACTGAGACTTGACGTTAATGTGCTACAGTACAGAACAACGATTATTTGATTTAACAGAGTTCACATCAGGCTTAAAACCAACATTGCATAAGAAACATTACAAACTGATTTAGTCATTCGGTTAAAGAACGTCAGGTCAACATGCAGACAGAAAGAGTTAGTGCATAAACACTTGGAGAACGACAGATTTTTGTAAAAATAAAACACAAAGTGGACAGAGTTGGGAGGGTCATGCTTTCACTTTTTACTTACGGGAGGACACGCTTATAACTTTGGAATCGTTGCCAAACTCATTAAACACCGTGCAAGTGACATTAAGGTTCGTAGAGGGCTCGACCGCGATCTTGTGTGCTATATTGCCGTTGGGGAAGGAAGTCTCATTAAGCTGTAAAAAAAAACAAGGAGGAATTCAGAAATTAACACAAATCCCTTAACAAATAAGCTCCATCTTATATTTAGGATTAGGGATGCACAATATTATCAACATATCGGTATCGGCCGATATTAGCGATAAAATTAGATATCGGATATCGGCCATTCCATCAAAATAACTCACCGATATAAAAGTTTTAAGTAAATTTTTACTTTAAGAAACTGTCAAGTATATCTGTTAATGCACTACTACTTGTGCGCTTTTCACTTGTCGCTTGTGAACAGGTTGAGTTTAGATTTGTGAAAATTTACACATTTGCACTGTTCAAGTGTTGTCATTGTGTTAGAGTAAATGTCATGACGTTAAACATAATCCAAGTTGAAGTGTTACATCATTTTCGGCTCCCTTTGTGGCATCTGCATTTGGTAACAGGCCAAACTGACAAAGACCTGCAGAATAATGTATTTTAATTCCACAGCAGAGAAAGTTATGTAGTGTCTGTAAGTAGGTCTAGGGGGGAAAATATCGGTATTGGTGATTGGCCAAATAAGTTTTAACATATCGGATATCAGCCAAAAATCCAATGTCGTGCATCCCTATTTAGGATCTTACTGTTCCATATCTTCTTAACTGTCAGACTGCAGGTTTACTTGTGGTTCCTAGAGTTGATAAAAGTAGAACGGAATGCAGAGCTTTTAGTTATGAGGCTCAGTGCTGCTGTCTACAAAGCAGACAACACAGCTGATCTCACTGCGTTCTTGTAAACCTTCCTTTGATTTTTGCTGACACGCTTTTGTCACAAATCACTCCATCCTGTCTGGACTGTCGTCACCTCTTTACCACACTCCCTGCTTCCCTGGACAGATGACCAGAAGTACTTGAAGTCCTGCACCGCTGTGGCTGCTGCTCCTTGTAGCCTCCCATTCACACACGTCTGTAAAGCTGACACTCTGTCCACTTTTAAGACTTTCCTTCTAGATAAATCCTATAGTTAGCGTTGGCTGGGGTTTCTTGAGCTCTCCGGCTTAAGACTGCTGGAGGAAAAACTAAACAATCTGCAGTCTTTACTGTAGGAGTCCTAGAGTTGTCTCCCTACAGCTACAGGCACCAACAGATGCACACCTGCGGATCAGTATCCTGATGAGCTGCAGTGATGACTCCTCTTCCCATGCTGGTGCATTGTCTGCCTTCTGGTAGTTGTGGTCCTGGCCACATTTGTGTTCCTATTGTTTACTGCTAAACTAATTCCTTGCTCCTGCGTGTTTCAGCATACTCCTACGCACTGGACCTCCTCATTTCTCTTGTGTATTAATTGGTGCTCTCTTCAGCTGCTCCTTGCCACTTGCCCACCAGTTACCTGCAATCCCTCTGGGACCTCCCTGGACTACTACAGGAACCATTCGACCCTCATCTCTATGAGAACACCATCTTCTCCGACAGTAAGCCACAAGAGATAATCAGAACTAACCAACGTATCCTCACACTAACGGTCATCCTTGCTCTCCATGGTTCCAGTCGCTCCCACCGGGGTTGCAGTTCTACAGTTTACATTATTTCACTTATTGTAAATAAACACTGTTAACTTTACTACTGTCTTGGAGCTGCTCAGTTCAGTCACAACTATTGTGGGCATTAGAAACCGCACATTTACTCAGTCTTTTCTCGATGGTTATACATGGAGAATTACTATAAAACATAATTAATGTTGTCGTTAAACTGTTTTTTCTTTGTCTTTCGTCCCATAGAAGCTACACTTGGACGAGTCCTTCACTATTTGTCCATGTCTCTTTCCTGTCCTCTTTAATCTCCAGCCGATTGAGACTTATGGCCGTCTGTCCAGAGCCTGGTTCTGTTGGAAGTTTCTTCTAGTCCAAAGATAGTCGTTCCTCTCCACTGTCGCCAACAGGCTGCTCAGACTTGACTCCTTCCATAGATAACTTTAATTAATTGTCATCTTATAATACACTGCATGTTAATGCATTCTATTGGATTAACTGTAATTAGATTTGAATGTGTATCAGATTTAGATTTATGATATGGACTTTTTTTTGGTACATTGCCCTGAGATGACTTTAGTTGAGAATTGGCGCCACATTAACAAACTGAAGTGAACTAAGAAGAAAGGTTGCAGTTCGTGCCACTAGGAGGCACTGTTGGACAGACGAGTGACTGAGCCTGCTCCATGATAAAGGAAAAACCAGCCTCAGGGATGTAGACTTGTGAATCTCTGAGGAAAACCCCAGACACAAAGACAAACTGCCAACACCCCTTTCCACATCCTCTCCACCGACACACGAGGATGGAGCAGGTTGGCGTTTCGACGAATGAGCCTCGGTGCAAAGTCCTACATTATTATTTATTTTCACCGTTCATGCTCAAAGAGGTGCATTACTTTAATTGAAACAGCACATTTCTGTAAGTGACGGCACATTCCCAACTGATAAATGATTGCGCGCAGCCTCGGGTTGTGCGTTTTATTTCTCGTGAAACAAATCCCGCTCACGGCCCCGAGCTCGATACGTAACTAACACTGCTTTCTTTGAGCGCCTCGCCCATCAGCGTGCACGTAGGTGGACCACGAGAACAAAGGGGGAAAACAATATATTTATTTATAGTATTCAGGTGGAAAATACTGAGTGTAAAGCCTGAGGGGGAAATAAAGTTCTGCTCTCTTTTGAAACACTGGGAATAACCCACCTAGAAGAGTCTGGACTGGATGAGTTCAGGCATGTTACAAATAGACAACAACTTCCAGGCATGAAACAAGAGGGTTTTCACTCCCTCTGCCAAGCAAGGTAGGCAAGAAAAAAATGACAGCTGCTCTGATGATTAGTCACTGGTTTGTTTAAGAAAGAAAAATACAATTATACCTAAAGAAACATGAAGGCATAAAGCAGACATTGATCGGTCTTTGATGTACCAGGTAGACCAGGTATGTTTATTGTAAAGGATGTGGTCAAAAGGTATTTAATGTAAGAGTTGCCACTTGACACAGCAAGACCGCTGTCAGAATGAATCGCCATGACAACAGGCAATGATTCACAAACAAAGTAATAAGACTTTAGCGGCTATAAGGAACAGAAACACTAAAGGCAACCTTTTCATTGAATGGCATGAAGCTCAAGGTGATCAGGTGAATAAAGAATGAGATGTGACTTAATAAATAAACTAAATATAT